TGACTGGTTCATGATAAAAACATAATTATTTTGAAAAAAATTGATAGTTATTAAAGAAAGTTCATTATCTGAATGTAAATTTTTGTGCCTTGCCAGTAATATATTCAGTGGTCATCTGTGATCACCTACTTCCTTTACTAGTTCCTTCAAGTAACATAACAGCTTTCCTCTCCCATTATATACCTTCAGGGTTAATGGCTGTCAGATTTTGGACCCTGATTATGAAGTACACCTTTTCTTCTCAGTTTTCTGGGAGATTACCCTCCTTAACCATCTTGATGAGGCAAGGTGGTGAATTGTTCAAACATCTGCTTTACATAGGCAATTACTGTTAAGTTTTAGATCATATTTACTGCTTCCGTTTAAGATATATTTTTATAATTCCAGTGCTACCTTGGTTCACAACTTTTTGTAATACAAGGTCTCCCTATGTAGTGCACACTGGCCTTGCTTATGTAGCCCAGGTTGGCCTGGAACTTTTGGTGACCCTCCTGCCTCAACCTCCTAAGTGCTGTAATTATAGGTGTGCACCACTACATCCAGCTTGGTTCATGAATTTAATTTTTTCCACAGTTCTGGTCACAAACCGAATTGGATGAGAACCAAATTGAATTATCTCATAAGGTCAACATCAAACCTAAGCACTGAGTTTGATTCATCCGATTCAGTTTGTGACCCAAATCACAGAAAATATTAAGTTCATCAACTGAGGTACTGCTATATCAGATTAATATGGATGCTTGAAATTAAATTTGGTATCTTCTGTAATTCACCCTTGGAAAAGGCCTTCTCACATTTTCCTTATGAGTATGCCCATCTTTTTCTATGACAAATATTTTTTATCAGATATACTCAAGCTTATATTTTATATTTAATTATCTAGGTAGCATGTTTACCAAATACAAATGATACAAGCAAAAACATATTATTAAAGCACTACAGTTCTTAATACAAGCTATAAAGTTTTTTCTAGGTTATTACAGTTTTTCTGTTTTCATATTACTTTTCCAAAAGACCACACTTTAGTAGGCATAGATCTCTTTGATTTAACAAATCTTTTATTTGTGGGTATTTGAATATTTCTGGATTTTCTTATATAGACAATACTGCAATGAACATATTTATATACCTTTCATAATTTTCATGCATTTTCTGTAGGATTAATTTAGTCCTCATTCAAAAGCATGAACGCCAGGGCTGGGAGTGTAGCTTAGTGGCACAGTGCTTTCCTGGATGCGCAAAGTCCTGGGTTTTATCTCCAACTTGGCAAAGAAGAAAAGTATAAACCAAAGTATCAACATTTACCTTTATGTATAATAGATATTGGGAAATGGGAAAAATGGTCAAATAAGAAAGGGAACGAGGAGAGGAAAGAAAAGATAAGGGAAAAAAGAAATAAAACTGGAAGCAATGATTTTATAAATAAAAGAAGGGAAGAGGGGCTGAAGGGAGGAAAGGGGAATGGGAAAAAATAAGCAAGACATACCATGTACAGAACAAATTCCTTATTATGAATATTATCACTATGTCTATCTAAAATGTACCAATAAAATAAAAAGAAAAAATTTACATTTAAATAGCTATTGACAAATGACAGTGAAAATGGATTGTATGAAATTATCTTCTTCTACCTCCAATAGTTTTTAAGATTACCTATAATTTCAAGATTTGACTACACATTAGAACAACCCAGGAAGCTTTGTAAAAATTACCAAGGTTCAAGTTCCTCTCCAGACCAATTAAACCAGCATCTGTTAAAACAGAAGCTTGGGAATTAGCATCTTCCAAAATCTCTCCAAGTGATCCCAATTTGACCAGTGAACCATTATTCCACACCTTCACCAACAATGAAACTTGTTTTAGTAAAGTGTATTTCCAGATTTTTTTCAAGAGACACACTTGCACAAATGACCATTGTATAGTGTAGGAATATGATTTTGGCCAAAAACAAACAGAAAAGGCAAAAGAGTTGAGAATCTCGTCATTGAAATTACAGAGAAAGTATTTGGGATTGGTAGTTGACTACTATTTATTTTGGCCTGTAATGTATGCCATATTTCATCAAAAATAGAATTTACATAAGTTCTCAAGCCATATAATAGAAAGTATTAGATAAAGTCTCCAGTCTTCAGTAAATTATGTGAAATCTTTTGGGTAATGTGAATAGATTTCTCAACTGAAAAAATCTTGGTAGACAATAATATTGTTAGGAATACGTAGAAAGGGAATTCAATCATTAGATACCAGATAATTTTGAAAGACGAATATATATCACACTAATTTTTAATTGAGGAAAACTGTTTCTGAACACAGTCTTAACGTAACCCCAAAGCTAAGCTGCTTTTATTGAAGGTGGTACACAGGACCAATTCAGTCTCCCCTTGAACTTTAGTGTATGGCTTTCCATGGGAATCAGTTTTCACGTGCATTTTTCTTTTGATATGTGTTAAGGAATGCAGTCAATCTCATATTACAGGGCCATATTTTTGGATATACAAAGATTAATTCTTTGCGTTACTAAATGAAAATAGAGCAATACATGAAAGCCACATAATGAAGCATGGGTACCACAGCCCACTCTTTCCAATGCAATTTTACATTACAGTGGTATCCCATTATGAGTAAACAGAATATTGCTTTCATAGTTTGAAGCCAAGCAAATGGAAACACATTATAATTTCCTATATAACTTCCATTCACTTACTGGTAACATTTTGTTCATTTCTGACACATTTTAGAGCTTTCACAAAGGACCTAATTGAGTAAGGAGGAATAGTGGGTGTTTCCCCACCCCACATGGAAGATTAACAATGAGATTAAAAAAAAATTCTACCTATATCTTTTATAATTTGTTTTATTTTGGGTGGCATAACCTGAAAACACCCAAGCTTAGTTTGCTAAAGTTGCGTTCAACATATACAATAAGGAACTGTTTCATTCTGCAAGTTTTTGGAATTCTTTCTTTCAGCAAAACATTGACAATTACTATTTAAAGGGACACAGTGCCTTTAGAAGAGAGGTAGTCAAGAACTGCTTTGAGATCTCCTAACAGTAGACAATATATTGTTTAGCCTAAAAGTAGTCATGTGGAGGATAAGATGATCCCAAACCTCTTACAGAAAAATTTGCATACCACTGAAGTCTTTTATGATTATACTTCTTCAAAGATTATAAAATGGCAAATAACTTTTACCAAAAGAACTTGAAATATATTTTCATAAAAATGTAACTGAAAAACTGCTATTCAATGAAAAGTTTGTTTTATTGCTAACCTCCATTCTGTTTGAGCTGTATTTGTATGTATCTATCACTTGCTAATTTACTGACAGGTTACTTAAGTATGCATCAGTAACACAGTTCAGGAACACCCCTCTGAAATGCAGTGTCAGCATAGCTAAACTTCATTTTTGTTTTTTAAATTTAAGTCACAAATCGCTGTGTCACAACTTTCCTTGTTGTCAGTTGATATAAATTTCCATAAAATATGTATGCAACTTAAAGTGTTGTTATAGATTTTTTTCCCATAAGAGTTGCAAAGATTTAAAATATTGTACTAAATAATGGCAAATATATGAATAGACATTCATGTTCCACAGATTGTGTGGAGATTTATCTTGAAGGTCAGTTCAGCAATATAAATAGAAATTTATAAATACCCATAAGCAAACCAATCCCTGAAATCCAAGAGCTGCCTGAATACTCATAGTTATGCTATGGACTTGTCTGATATAATTTCACAAATTATGAAATAAATAACTCATACACAGCTGTAGAAATGTAAAAGTTGTACAACCACTTTGGAAAAACGTACATAGCATATGATCCAGCTACTTCACTGTTTATCTAGAATAAAAATATACATCCATAGAAAATCTTGTGAATTTAGTGACTTTGCTTGTAATAATCAAATTTTTAACATAAATGTCTATCCAACAGTTGAATGGATAAACTATTAGAAAGTCATATAGTTGACTACCACTTGGCAATAAAAATTACTTGGACTATTGAGATACGATGTGGATTAAACTCGATTACCCTGAAATAAACTAGAGTCCACTCTTCCAAGAGTATATGCTGCATGATTCTTTAATTACAGAAAGTGAAAATGTCCCAGGTCATCAGAAAGCAGAGCAGTAAGTTGCCTGGGGATGGGCATACAGAGAAAAGTGAGAGGGTTTATGACGGGGCATTAAGAAGCTCTCGGGGGTGATACATATGGCCACTATTTTGATTGTGCTTATGGTTTAATACACCTCATAACTTATCAAACTATACTTTATTCGGTTTAAGGTATGCCAGTTGTATTTCCATAAAGCTATTAAGTAGAAAGCACTGAGTCTGGTGTGGTGGTACATCCCTGTGATCCCAGCATGCTGGGAGGTTGAAGTAGATGTGTTATTTGAAATCAGCCCAGACAACTTAGTAACTTAGCGAGACTCTGCCTCAAAAATAGAAACATAAAAAATGGCTGGGAATGTAGCTCAATCCTGAGGTCCTGGGCTCAACCATCAGTACCTCCTCCCCCCAAAAACCTGTAAAATAGCATTTGGATGACATCTGACTCTGTAGATAACAGAATGAGTTTTCTCTGTGGCAATTGTGTAGGACTTTGCACTTACTCATCATGCTAATCTGGGGAAAGTAACCAATAGCTGATTCAGTCTGGGAGATGGTACAACCTTTTTCTTTGAATGAACAAATAATGACACCTTCAATTCAAATCAATATATGATCATTTTACTAATAATTTCAATAAGCTATATTTGTAAGAAAAATTCAAAACAAAATTCAACTTTAAATTACTCTGAATTGTTAACTCATATAGTGGATACAAAATGTGCAAAACAAAATATTATTAAAAACAAAGAATGTGGTAATTTGTGTCATACTAAATTGGAAAGACAACTTGAGAGTTTCTATTTCTACAAAAGAAAAGCTTTATACATACTGCCTTAGTTACTTTTTTGTTGCTAAGACACAATACTCAACACTCACAGCTGTAAGGTGGAAAAATTTATTTTGGCTCAGTTTGTAGAGGTTTCAATCCATAGTCAGCTTGCTTAAAGGCAGGGAAGCACAACAGAGGAGAAATAGTTTACGGCATGGGTGGCAAGAAGCAAGGAAGGAGGGAGATACACCCTTTTAGGCGACACACCCAAGGACCCACCTCCTCAGACCAGACTTCACTTCTCAACATACATTTAGCTATAAACTCATCAACAATATAATCTATTGTAAGTACAGTATCATGCCCCTACAATCTAATCATCTCCCAAAAGCTTTACTTATGAGCATATGAGGCTTTGGAGGTACATTTAGTAAACCATAACATTTACTATATATTTTAAGAGAATATGCAATGAAAGATTACAACATTATATAACAGGAAGAGACGTATTAAGTGTTTCACAACTATTTCACAGAACCATATTTATGACATGGAAAGTTGTTCATGGTATACAAATAGTGTGTAGGGGACAAGTTACAAGTATTTATAGTATAATCATTTTAACTTAATTGAAAATCTCAAAGCATACACTTGATGGTTCCATATATAAAAGACATTTTTCACAGCTCAGATCAGGGATGGTAATTCCTACTGAATCTCAGAACCTCACATATCACACCAAATCCCTAAAATGTTTCCAGGGCTGTAAAGACTTTTCAGGAATCATTATTTTGTATTTTTAGACAGTAGCTTCTCTCCTTGCTTTCCTATTCTATATTAGTGGACCTTCAATTATGGATCCAAATTTCTCCAATTAAGTTTAGTCTGTTTTAGCTAGTACAAATGCAAACTGGGCTTGCCTACTAGTAAAAGATGGAGTTCTTTGGACTTTCATGTGACTCACAAAATAAATCTTAAGGGTCAAAAAAAGTATGATTTTATGAGAAAAAATCAATTACCTTTTAAATTCAGGGTATGAAACAGTATTTAGAACAATTTCAGTTCTTTAAAATAAAAATGATGGATAGAAAAAGGAAGGATATATAATGTTTTACTTCCTTACATGATCCACATCTACATCTTATTTGTTCAACAAAATTTTGGTTACCTAGTATTTCCCAGGTACTGCCAGGAAAAATACATACATCCATGTCAGACTTTTCTCTTGACTTTATCAACTATAGCTAAATGTTTAATGGACAAGTCTATTTGGAGGAAGTTAAGAATTGGAACACTTTGCAGAGACATCATCAACCACAAAATTAAACCATTAGTGCCAACACAGTGTCTCACAAAGAGCACTTAATAAATGTCTTCTCCCTATGCTACCTCCTTTTTCTTCTATAAAATAACTGACACAATGAAGCTGCCTAACAATTTAAGGGTTGAAAATGTAATAAAAATTAAAAAGTAAACAAACATCACATTTTGTCTGAGATTCAGTTATTTCTGTTTTGAATCAGTTCTGATTTATTTGGAACAGAGGAAAAATAGAAATCCCTTACAATAAGCTTTGCTTCCTAAAATGTATTGATAGGGTACACATACACACACGTGCACCACAAGTATAACTATAGGTACTATTATTTTTGTGTTCATATACCTTATTTCTGTAACTAGATTATAAATGCAACGTTTTTTTTTTGCCATTTGAAGTCACAGATATATCTAAGTAGATACTAACAGTAAAGCTAAGCTTACCTATAAACAACTGGTTTACTTTCTTTTTTTCTGACTTTTTTAACTTTTTATCGGTACCAGGGATCGAACTCATGATCGCCTGCTTGCAAGGCAGGTGCTTATGCCACTGAGCTAAATCCCCAGCCCCTAGAATTGGTTTACTTTCTTAAGTAAAATTTTAAATATGCCAGTTTAGACAACATGAAAACCAACGAATACTTTCAGATGTTAATACTGATTTGATATACACAAAAAATGTTCTAGCTCAGAGCTACAGCCTTACAGGTACACTGTTGAAGATATGATTTTTAATGTGTACACTGTAATAAAAGTTAGGCAATGATCTTTGGAAATGTACAGCCTTTCAGAATCTCTTCATTCTTGGCTTGTTTTACATTGTTTCAATAATCCCTTTAACTTCACGGAAAATGGCAGTAAGTGTATTATAACTCAAGTGATCAACAACTACAATTGAGCCCTTTCTTATATGCTCTTTTATGTTAATAAATATGGCCACAGCACTAACAAGATTGGCTTTTGCCTCTTTCTGATTGAAGATGAGTTTTAATGCTGACAATGCCTTCATATTGATCAAATCTCTGGCTGCAGCTGGATTTTCAGACATATTCACAAGTACTTTCAAAACAAGATTTCTGGTTTTACGATTCCCCTCAGACAGCAAATTTAAAAGTTCTGAAAAGTAACTAGCAACAATATAGTGATGGACAGAATCAGTAGTCAACTGCCCAAGTATCTTTAATCCAGTCTGCTGTCCAGGTGAGTTTAAGGGGAAAGACACTGTTTCCTTACACATATGCTTAACATGTAACTCAATCTTGCGTTGTCTTTCATCCACAGAAAGAGGATTCAGAGTAATTACAGTCTTTTTCCTCCTTTCAGGGGAAGGAAAACTGAGCAAGCTTTCAATAAGTGTCACTACACCCACTTCGTTAATGAATTCTTGGGCAAATGGATGAACATTATGGATACCCATTGCAATCTGCGCTATTTTATGAATGAGAGGATCAGTGGTTGACTTAAGTATGCTAACAAGTTTTTCAAATTCCTCAGAATCCAAGTAACATTCCATTTTGCAAGGGCAAGCAAATGGCTTAATACCATTCATTTCCCTGATCCTAATTTGCTGTCTAATTTCATCTATGGTCTGGACGCAAAGGTCAGAACCAAATGGGGACTCAGGAATAGGCTGTGAGCTTGAGCAAGTATTCCTAGAAGGGGAAGCTGCTGCTGCAGAAAAAGAATGGGTACTTCCTTCAGCTGAGGAAACAACAATAAACGAAGAGGGCTTTGTCTCAGCTGGGACCTGGGATCTAAATCCTAACACAGCTGGTGTTACAGCAGGGGCTTTGGGCCAGATAGTGACCTCAGACCAGTCCTTAGGTCTATTTTTTTGATTAATTTCATTCACAGGCAGAGGTCTAACTATCCTGTATACAGGTTTGGGCTCAGGGTCAAAACTAGTCTCATCTCCTTCCCAAAACCAATTCCCTATAACATTGTCTTCCTCTTCATCAACCCCTGACATAGATTTACAACTGGCCCCAGCCTCAGATTTCAACTCCTCAGCACAGACGTGGGCACCAGTATCAGCTTTATTTTCATCTTTAGCACTGGAATGATTACCAGCCGCTTCTCCCTTCCAGAACCAGGAACTGATACTGGCCTCTTCCCCACCCCAGAACCAGGTATCAATACCAGCCTTATCTTTACATGTGGAGCTGGTAACCCCATTCTCAGCCTTGGAACTGAAATCATCTATTGCTTTCACTGGAGCCTTAGGCTCTGGCAGCGCTGCTTCCTTCATCTCATCAAGGACCCTGTTTTTAGATACTACCTTTGTCTCTGCCACTACATCTGTTTTATACCCTGTTTTGGCTTTTGTTTTAGATTGGGTCTTGGCTACTGGTTTGACTGCACTTGTAACTTCCTTCTCTGCTCCAACTTTAGCCTGTACTTTTGCCTTTTTCTCAGTTTTGGCCTGGCCCCTAGCCTTATTCCTTCTCCCAGTCATGGTTAAAGCCCAGTTATATAATCTTGTTCAATCTCGGCCTTGGTTTTCACTGTGTACCAGGTCAGTGTCTTTACTTTTCCAGTGGGTCAGAGATGAGCTCGTTAGTGAGAGTCACTTGTCAGCTGAGCAAGTCACACAGTCCCCTTTCTAATAAAACCTTTCGCAAGGGTATGGCCAGAGTAGAGGCTCACGCAGGCTGCAGGAAGATGATGGCTTCTGGCAATCCAAGATCAGCACAGCTACTATGAAGATAGACCTGAGATGGAAGAAAGAAATGAGTCTCCTCCAACTTCATTTCTTAATGCAGACAGCCACATAGAAGAACATATTAATAGACATCGCTTGTACATTAGAAGTCAATTAGTAGAAAACTCAATTATCTCATTTTATCCCTTGCACATTTTCAACATACCCTCCAATACTACCATTCAGTTCTCTGTATCAAACAGAACAGGCACAGTAGGTAATCTTACTAGAATGGAAGGGTAAGGAGAACCCAGTCCATTTGGGTACACACCACTAGCCACAACAAATCTATCCAGACAAGCTTCATATCCACCTTCACTTATCTGATAGAATTTTATCCTTCTTCCTCACTTCAACTGTTACTAAAACCTACAGCTGACCTACAAGCTGACCTATGGACAAAAATATTGGCAGAATTAGAATTTTCAGTGACAAACTGTTTTGTAATACTTCCCCTAACAAATCAAGTTTTATAATACTTCCCCTAACAAATCAAGTTTTGTAATACTTCCCCTAACAAATCAAGTTTTGTAATACTTCCCCTAACAAATCAAGATTTTGGTTAAATACTTCTCTGATCTCCTTAAGTGTTCCTCATAGTTTTTTTTTTTGTATCTTTTGCCTTGTATCTATGAATTACCTACCAAGCTCACTCCCACCCCATTTAACAATACACAAATGAGAAGGCAAAGGTGTCTGGAAAACTGGAAGATAATGGCTCCAAGATATTATCTTATCTCGCCCACTGGCCAACAGTTATGCCACCCCTAATTAATAGAAGCGCTCATGATTACATCATACCAACCTTGAATCCAAATGAATAGATTTCGTTGTTTCTCAACTAACTTCCAAGTGAACAGCTATCTATAAAAATTTTTCTGGGAACCTAGAGCAGACAAGAGAAGCAGAGAAAAAAAAACAAGAGGCTGAGATGACATAACAGGCTTGATGAGGGTTATACAATGTTAAATGTTTCTCACCTGTCTGATGCTCCCCAATATTTCCCCAGTCACTCCCCTTAAGATCTACAGTGTATATGATTAGACCTCCTCCCAATTCTGAAGTCATTCATTCTCCCATTAGACTTTTACCTCTTTACCTGGACAAATACAAAGTACAGGAATAGGGAATACGAAACTACATTTAGCACGGGGGAAAGTTAACAGGTACTATTATTTCAATATCAATTTTACATGCTCTCCTTCCCCATGCATATCCAGATCACACCTTCTTTACTGCTAATGCCAAACTGCTCACAAGGCACAGGTTCTCAAGCAATGCAATCCTTCCAAACAAAGATTTCTGTGATTGGAGAAAAGCAGTAATCTAGAGAAAAAAATTCAGCAGAAAATCAAGAAAATAGGTTGACAATGGTAAAAAATATCAGGATAATGGATAGATTTCCCAGAATCAAAGTTCAAAATTTTTTGTGAGGGTCTGAAACAATAAAAATTAAGTCCAGGTTCTCTCAAGGCTTCTCCAATAACTGTCAGACACAGAAATTTTCTGGAGGGACTGCTTCGTCATAAAGATGTGAGGATCTCTTAAAACATACAGATTTTCAGAAAAAGAAACTAAAGCAGATTGGCTTCAAATGTTCGAAAATGACAAGAGACTTACTCTCTACTTCAAGGCCCATTTTCACACATCAAAATAAAAAATAAAATTTACTATACTACCAAGAAAGTAGATCGTGAATAAAACAGATTAATATCATGCTATTTGTATAGAAAACCACTGATATGAAAATACTCATCTACGCCATTTGCTTGAACCAGAAAAGGTGTAGAGACTCAAATATATAATACAACAAAACAGTTATGTACTAAAAGCAGTTGACTATTTCATTTTGGTATCCACATAGTCCAAGCTTTACTGTTCATATTTACAACAATTCACCGGACCTGCCGCGCAGATAGGAGAATCTGCCACCAACAGGAGCCTGTGGGGAGGGAGAGTACGCAGGACATAGGGTCCAACTGGCCCCGTTCAGGAATCGGGGCCTGAGTAGCAAAGGTGAGCCACCTTCCACCAGCTGGGCTGGACACGGAGTCTGCACGCCAGTGCCCCCCCCCCCGTTGTTCCCTGGCGGCCTACCCAGATACGCCCCGCCCCCACTGCCGCGCCGCCGTTTCTCCAGCAGTAGGCCCCCACCTGTGCCTGAGCCTCTCCGAGCAGACACTGTGGAGATCGGGACGCGGGGGTCAGAAAAGCCGGCCAGCGGGTAAGCGGTCGCAGCGGCTGGCCCCCACAGGATCCCACAGAGCCTCTCGGCCTCCTCTGGGCTAGGGCCAAACCTGCACCAACACCAACCTCCTCACCACCAGGGGTCCACAGATTCTACGCACCTCTTTGCCGGGCTGGCTACGCCCAGCTCGCCTCCTTCCTGCTCGGATCTGGGGGCCCGCTGTCAGTCTGTCCACAGAGGAAGGCCGCCCCGCATCCCCCGCAATCCCTTTACTCTAAGGGTGCAGAGTGCAGGATTTCTGCCTACCCCTCCTCACCTGTTCGCCACACTCCACTGGCAGCCACACACACGGGTTCCCGCCGCTTTCCTGGTTCCTGCGCCACCAGAATGGCAAAGAACCGTCCGCCTCCCGCGCCTCTGCACCAAACACGGAAGGAGCTGCGCAGGACGCGACGCAGCCAGAACCGCTGGCCGCAAAGGTGTCGGGAAGGGGGGCGGAGGGATACGGCAGGAACCGCTCAACGCCCCTTCTCAGGCCCACCGTAGTTCCGACGAGGTGGGCGGGGCCTGGGCTAGCCTCGGTCTGAGGGGCGGCTCGGTACCCGCCCGCCTCAGTAGTCCCCAGCGCACCCTGACGTGCAGACCACCACTCTGTCTCCCACGCTACGCCACTATACCCTGTGGGGTTGGCGGGCGGCTGTGGGCTGCGAGGATGCGCGAGGAGGGGGCAGCAACATGGGGAGGTTGGCGGCAGCGGATGGATACCAAGCCGCCCCTCTGTGAGGCTGCAACGCCGTCTGCGGTGCGCCGCCCCCTCGTCTCCACTCCCCCTCCTTTCTAGAAGCTGGGGGGGGGGGCGTGTCAAGAGCTGTGGCTTGGCTTGGCTTGGCTTGGCTTGGCGTGGGGTGGGGTGGGGTGGGGGGGTGGCTGCGCAACAGGCAGCCATGGAGGCTCCTCAATGTTTGTCTGTCCCTGCTTTTCCCACCAGGATGGTGAGGAAGGTACTTCTGCTCTTGAAGAAACTGAGATGGGCGCCCCTCAAGGCTGCTTCTCTTTCAGAGGAAGACCTCAGCCCTCGGAAACCAATCACTGGTCTGGGTCCTGGGCTGAGAGTCATTTTTTCTGCCATGCAGACTGTTTCTCAATCCCATGTGGGAACTCATTTGATTACTGTGCTGTCCCCACAGTTGCCCAAGAAAGAAGTCCTTCTCCTTTCAGGACATGCAGGGTGTCAGTCATGTAGTTCTCTTTCTCTGCTGTCCAAGGGCCAAGAGTCAGGCACCAGCTGAGATCTTAGTCATGGCTTCCAACCCAGTCTTTTTTCAGGAAAGGTAACCACATATACTTCTCATGGCGACTCTGAGCTGGTTCTCTATATTCTCCCTATAAGCTTTGCATATTGCTTAATGAATGCATATTCTCCTTTCCCCTAAATGTGTGTAAGGGTTTGCTAGAGTGGGGTAATTTTGATTACACTCTATGTCTCATGAAGGAAGTATTCTTTTTTAGGTCTTTTCCACCACTGTATCCTGTAGGGCGGGAGACAAAGTTGTCAGTAGTTAAAGCAAGGTTGGGGCATTTGGGTAATGAGAGTTCGATAGATAGCATCCTTTAGGAGTTGTATCCCAGTGCTAACCTTGTAGCTTTGATACTTTTAACTCCAGAACTTAGCCCAGATTTACCCACAAAATAAATAAATGGTCTCTGCATGGCTTTTCAATGGAGAAAAGGAGTAAAAGGAGACTGCAGACATTGTGAACTATACCTGAAGTACACTTATGTTAGAAATAGTACTCATATTTCCATGTTAAATTACAGGGCACAATACTGGCACAAACCCAAAGAGTAATGGGTCAGAATACAGGATGCAGAAACAACCCAAAGCACATCCAAGTATTTTGCTTCCACAAAGGGGCCAAAGCATTTACAGGAAGGATATACCCCTTGATAAATGGTGCTGGGAAAATTGGCTATCCACATGCAGACCATGGGATCTAGACTCATATTTATCTCATCATGCACTCAACTAAATTAAAAATGGATCAAATAACTAAATGTTAAAACTAAAACAGTTAACCTGCTGGAAGATAAAATAGATAAACCTCTTAAAGTCAGACTTACGAAAGGACTTTCTGAATAGAACCCTAATTCCATAAGAAATAGTGCCTAGAATTAATAAATAGGATTATATTAAAAAGCATCTGCACAGCAAGGGAGACAACAAACAGAGTGAAGAGACAACCTTACCAAATGAGAAAAAAATTTTGCCACGTATTCCTCAGAATAAGGGCTAATATCTAGAATATTTAAAGAATTCAAAAAATTAGAATTCCCAAAATAAAAGATTCAGTCCAAACATAAGCAAGTGAAATGAAGAAACACTTTCCAAAAGTATAAATGGCATATATATATATATACATATATATATATTCAAATGTTCAATGTTGCTTGCTGTTAGAGAAATGCAAATTTAAACAACATTGTGATTCTATCTTAACCAAGAAAAAATAGTCATCTTCAATAAGTTTAATAAGAGTTGTTAATGAGGCCTGTGGAAAAAGCAAACCTCCGTCATTAATGGGAGTGTAAATTGGTACAACCAGTATGGAGAGTCCTCAAAAAACTAAAAACAGAAATTCCATTTGGCCCAGCTGTTCCACTTCTAAATATTTTCCCAAATGGTTTAAATATATGCTATTGCAATGATACATGCACGCCCATGTTTATAACAGCATAATTCACAATAGTTAAATGCTGAAGCAGCCTGTATATCCATCAATAGGTGAAGAGGTAAAGAAAATATGATATGTTACATAAATTGGAGTACTTTGCAAGAAAAAAAAAAACCTTAAGTCATATGTAGGAAAATAGATGCACCTTGAAATCATACTATTAAGTGAAATAAATCAGACAACCTTAAATATTGCATAATTTCTCTTACATGAAAAACCCAAATATGAAGAGCAAAATAAAAGACAGAGAAGAGAAGGTGATAGATCTTTCCTAAATGGGGAGGGAGTGAAGATGTAGAAGGAGAGGGAGGAATGGGTGGGGAAGGGGTTATAAAAAATAAATTAAGATGTGCTATGTACATGTAGCAACTATCAAAAAGGAATTTGTGGTATATGTTGCAAACATGCACTACTAAAAAAGTATGGAAAACAAAAAGAAAAAAATGATCTCTTTACCTGGTTGTTTGTATTTTGGGGGAAGGTATCTCAATCTGACACACCCATATGTGATTTAGAATATCTGAAACTTGTAAATTGAGCATTCCTTATCCAAAATGCTTGGGACCAGAAATTTTTATGAGGTGTAAAGTATGTAGTGATTATTTAAATAAAAGTATTATTTCCACAAAATATGCATTTCCCCTGATCTCCCTCAAAATATCCCTCTGAGTTTGAATACATTTATCCCATCATTCTTGATATGTTTTTGAAGCAGCTCTGGAGGTCTTTTGTGACTCATATAGAAGATTTGATCTTATGATGAATGATGCGTTGCCTATCATCCAAAAGAAAGGCAGGTCATAAAAGCAGTTACACTATGTCTTCGTGCACATTCTTCACCATGTCTGGCAGAGTACAAACTCTGGTTCTTCTTGGGGTCCTGTCCAATATTGTCTCCCCACATTAATGAATCAATTTGCAATTGATTCACGACATCATAGCAGCCATAAGAATACAACTAAAGACATTCACAGAGGTGGACTTCTAGAAGTACTTCACAAAGTGGCAAGAATGATATAATAATTATTTCCAAAGAAAGGGCAAGTATTATGAGAGGAATCAATGGCAATGTGTCTTTCAGGGTAATGTATTTATAAAGTTTAATTATTCAGTATATTCACAAGTCATACCTTGTCCTGGCTGAGCATGCCTAATTCAAAATACTGAAATTATCCAAACTGAAGCTTACATTTCAAGCATTTCAAACATAAATTTGGATTATTTCATATTAAGGATGTTGAACTGTCAGTCTCTATAAATATTGAAAAATCTGAAAATTTGTAAAATCTGAAACACTTTTGGTCCCAAGCATTTCAGATAAGATACTAATCTATCTGTACAAGGATATTTATTAAAGATAGTATTTATTATAATAGCAATTATAAATAATCTAGATGCCATCAGTAGGGGATTAATTGAAGTGTGGTACATTTATTTTATAAAGTACTGTACTATCCTACCCTACTTTGATATGAGTGAATTAACTTTCCATAAACCAGAATGGAAATACCTTGAGAAACAAATTGAAGATTAAATGCAAATTTTAAATATATATGATGCATTATATAAATACATATAAATATATATATACACATATATAAAATAATTTGTGTTTATATATCCCCCCAAAGCTTCATGTGGTTATGAGGTGGGGCTTTTTGTATGCACCTCAATCTAGAGTTTGTGACTGGTTCATTGTCTAGTGCTTGGATTGGGGATGTGAGTGCTATACCTGCCCTAGGGTGCATAGCCTACATAAAACATAAGGTCGGAAAAAAGGATTTCTCTTTTGCACTTGTTTTAGCTGTCTCCTGCCATCATGAACTGTTGTCCCTCTGCCACACCACCCTGTCTTACAGTCAGCTGATTATGGACTGAAACCTCTACAAATTGTGAGCTCTGTCTTTAACTTTGGGTGTTGGGTATTTTATCCTAGCAATAACTAGGATAATATATATATGTGTGTGTGTGTGTGTGTGTGTGTGTGTGTGTGTGTGTGTGTGTGTGTGTGTATGGGTACATGAGTATATATCTATGTGCCATGTTCAGCACTGCTCTCAAAGTTCCTGGGGAGAAGGACAGTGAGAGGATAGAGAAATAAAGATAGGAGACAATATACAGAAAGCTGAGATCAGGTGGAGCACCCTCTCCAGATGGGAGGAAAGGAACTGCTCAAGCATTACAGAGTGTTTATTTATACATTTGGCAGGATGATGTCATGTGATGCCCCCTTTGTCTATCAAACCCATTGCTTGGGGTGCCTCGTGACTTAGTTTTCTGTGAACTGAAGCAGTTTGTGCACATGGCTTGGCTCAGGCACTCTTTGTTCTCAGAAGGGGTTTGCACTGCCCCTACACATGTGATCAATTTCTAGTTTCAGCCAGTCCCCACATCTCCCCCTTTTCTGCTTTGCAGTTGCAAGTGATTGGTGGTCAGCTGAAATTGGAGAAGTTGTGTTAGTAGGACTCTGCAGATGGTTTTCTTATGTAGTTATAATTTTCTGTTGGATATTCAAGATTAAGTTAAATGAGACCTGTATTAAAATAAAATTCATTGCTTGTTATCCATCAAGGTCAGTCAAGTCTGCTCAGGAATTTCTTTGGAACCAAGAACAGCACCTATCAGTTTTTCTGTCAGTGTCAGCCACTTGAATGAGTTACAGTCATTGCTTGATCAAGTTGCTTTCTATGAAATCTTAGGAGATTTTTCTCTGCTGGTGACTCTTCTTAAGCACTCTACATATTATTGATCACTTT